GAGACATGTTGAAATTATAAGAACTGACTCACTGAAAACAGAAAACTTAATTTGACAAAAGAAAATATCTTTTTTGTCTCAGTCCTATTCACTTCTTTAGATTATTCTTTTAAATTAATTGCTTTGACTCATAAAGTTAAAAAAAAGTCTTTACATAAACATAGAAAGTATTTGCTTTGCTCTTTTACCTGTCATTTTATTCACAAACTTAAGAAGGAAATTTTGTTTAAGATACGTTATGTAAATTATTTATTGAATTCCCTTTTAAATGGCTATTTTGGCTCATTTTCACAGTACACATTATGAACAATGGAACAAATGAAGTGATTTTTCTTTTTTTTACTAGTGAAACTTAAACCAGCATAGCAATTTGTTATAATAAAAAGAACAAGATGTTTTTAGCTCAGCTATTGACTTTCCTTTTAGAAATCTGAAGGCAAAGTGTAAAATGCTACAACTATTTCATAAATTTATCTCCTATTGTGAATATTCATAACCTTCCTATGATTATATCACTGAAATTGTTTCTTTTGGTAATCAAGACTCTATTACTGTTTTCTCTAACAGATTTTTTAAATTACCTTAATATTCTGTGGCCAATTTACAACTTTCTTGACTCAACAATAACCTCTTTTCTTTGACTGTCTCTACTATTGAAGCTGGGAAAACCAAATTCTCACATTTTTAACCACCCATGCAGCTCTTGTGAGACAGTTTTAGCCAATGAGACAAAAGGGAACGTCTTTAGAGCTTTTGGTTTTCTGATTAAAAAAAGAAAGGAACAGATCTAGTTGGCAATAAGCTACCTTCTCTCTTCTCCCTCCATGTATGCCCAAACATGAATATGATGATTGAAACTACAGTGTCCATGGGACCATAATTTATTCTTTTCTCAAATTGTACTTCAGATTTTATTCTTCCTTCCATGACCAGAATGCACTATTAAATTTAATGTATTTAGAATGTGAAGGCATAAATTAAAATCCTTATTCTACTACTTATTAGCTCTGAGATTTTGGGCTACTACTGATTTATTTTGGATTTTAATTATCACATCTATAAAAATGGGCATTTAAGAAATCTATCTTGTAGGAGTTATAAAAATTATAAATAAATTATATAAAACCTAGCATATCATAAGTGCCCCAAATGGAAGTTGTCATTACTACTTAAACTCTTAGTGTCTGTTTCATTGTATAGACTTATCTTACACCTACAACATACACCCTTTCACACCTTTCCAAATATCTGCAGTATCTCACAACTGCTTATATTTAATTGGTCTCTCAGTTCCATCATACCCAAAATGTGTATGATGGAACTAAGAAAGAAGCAAATCAGATGTCGAAGAGTGTTGCTATGTAAATAGCTATTCTTCATGTTTCAGATGACTATATCTTCTTGGTGGAATGACTCTTTTATCATCATATAATGTTCCTTTCTGTCTCTGGTAATTTTTTTTGTTCTGATGTCTGTTTTATCTAATATTAATATAGCATAACTACTTAAATAAGATTTTTCTAGTTAGGATATCTTCTAGGGAGAAATTTTTGTAGTATTATTTTAATAGCTATTTATGTGGGGTTTTTTCCTCACATATTTCTTGTGTTCTATACTATTTATTTATATGCAAGCATAATACTGGTAATATGTTTATGAAATTGAAAATAGAAATGATTCAACTAGTAATGGTGGGCTAGAATATTGAAAGATATATGTATTTGTTCCTAGTTAATTAAATGTCTTCATATACATTGTGAAGTTTTTCTTCTTTCTAAGAATATTGTTACTTTATTTTTAAAGCCCAATGTAATGAGCTATAGCATTTCTCACATTGAGTATCATGATGCCTTTGTGTGGGAAATGGTACTTCTCAGATTCTTAGTGGGAACACTTGCTCTTTTGAATTCTCATCTGCATCTCAATCTGGAAGGGATCCCACAGCTTATCCTATGACTAACATACATGAGTGTAGTAACTCTATGACACACCCACTAGATCTTATATAGTTTTGGAAAGAAATAGTAGTTTATCTCTTCATGTAAAAATACTAGTGACTAGATAATAGGCTATACAGAACTGTCATGGCCATTAACACAAATTTTATAAAAATTTTATAAACTAATATTATGATTTTCTTATTTTCTTAATTTCATTTATCAGCTCTTACAGCTAAAACATGTTCTTTTGAGCATTATTATAAAGAAAATGCAAGTACGTTGCCAATGATGTTTTGCTCTATTGCTCCTATCAAAAACTTCCTGAAAAATTAAGAGGGTAACCACAATGAGATATCACCTCACAGCTGTTAGGATAGAAATTACCAAAAAGACAAGAAATAACAAGCGATGGCTAGGTGTGAGAAAAGGGAATCCTTATGCATTGTTGGTGGAAATGTAAATTGGTGTAACCACTGTAGGAAACAGTATGGAGCTTCCTCAAAAAATTAAAAATAGAGCTACTATATGACCCAGTAATTCCAGTACTACAATTGATCTAAAGAAAATGAAAACACTAACTTGAAGAGATATATAAACCCCACATTCATTAAAGCATTATTTACAATAGCCAAGACATGAAAAGAGCCTAAGTGTCCACTGAAGGATGAATGGATAAAGAAAATGTGGTATATACAGATAATGTGATATTATTCAGCCATAAAAAAGAATAAAACCTTACCATTTGTGACAACATGGTTGGAACTTAAAGATATTATGCTAAATGAAATAAGACAGGTAAAGAAAGACTAATACTGTATGATTGTACTTATATGTGGAATCTTAAGGAAAAATAAAATACAAGTTTATAGATATAGAGAACAGATTGATAACTGCCAGAGATGGGAGGTAGGGAGTGGGAGAAATGAGTGAAGGTAGTCAAAAGGTATAAATTTCCAGTTATGAAATAAATAAGTTATGGGGATATAATGCATAGCATGGTGAACATAGTTCATAATATTTTATTACGTAATTGAAAATTGCTAAAAGAGTAAATCTTAATAGTTCTCATCATAAGAAAAAATTTTAATTATGTATCGTAATTGATGTAAATAGACTTATTGTGGTGATCATTTCAATATATCAATATATACAACCACTAAATCATTACATAGTACATTTAAAACCAAAATAATGTTATATGTCAATTATACTTTAATTAAAAAACAGTAATTATTACTATTAAAATTTTCACATCTTTATTTACAAGTTTTATTCCATATCGATATTCAACCACATAAGTAATCCTAATCATGCTACAACTTAAATAAACTTAATTTAATACACATAATAAACATTTTTATGTTAAGCATCATAGGCTGTAAACAACTCCTCAGTGCTTACAGGATGAATTGTAATTTTTTTATTAGGCCAATAAGGCACTTATTGAAATGTCCACTTTCTTCTTTTCTCTCATTCTATATAGTCTTATGGAAATTCCTAAAGTGCTTAACCAGGTAATGTTTCATGATTCCTTCATGCCTGTGAGCAAATTGTTTAGTTAGTCCATAATGTTTCTTGTATACATGGAAATCTCAGTTTAAGTCACTTCCTCTGCAAAGCTTTTCCTGTCCTGGCCATTTTTCCTCTGTGGAACTGAGTCATCTTGCTTTTGCCCACTCTGTACCTAATCCATAGAGACTTTCTATTTTTACCTAGAAGTCAGTTAATTGGCCATATGTAATTACATGACTGTATTTCTGGAAAGCAGATCTTGTTGTCCCATCTCCCCGCCCCTCTTTTTTTTTTTAGTGTTTCTAACCTGAGGACTCCACATAGTCAATGGCATTAAGTAGATTAATGTTGGGTCTTAACCTACATTGTAATGCTATAGGTTGAGGAAAAGACTTTCATCCCCTTTCCCAACTTCATTTTTTTAAAAATTAAGTATACCTAGGAAGACCAGGTGCTGTAGGCATAAAAAAATAAGAGATTGTAAACTGACAAGGTCTTTGCAATCTGTGAGGTCAACCAAGGATTGCCTCATCTGAAAAAAAATAAAATAATAAAAAAAAAAATTTAATTAAGTGTAGTTAGCATGCAATATTATACTAGTTTATCGTGTACAACATAGTGATTCGACATTTGTGCTCACCACTCAAATCTCCCACCTTCTCAGCAGGACATAGAAAACCCGGTGAGTCCTGAACCACTTTACAATTGAGGCACTTAGATTACTGAAAAAATGAAGAAATAGTGTGACAAATATTTTTTTAATCCAGCCATTTCATTTCTGTGACTATGTATTGACAAAATTTTAATTTGATTAGAAAATCATTTTAAAAGTCTTAATTAAGAACTTTTGTTCCACAATCCTCTCTCCACCCCGTGGCTTTGCTGATTGGCCCACCTCCTCAACTACAACCTTCTATGTCTCAGTCAATTTGGTACCAGTCATAAGCTTCACAAGACACAATTTTAAAAGAATGCTGGTCTGTAATAGGTTATGCCATCAGTAGGAGAACAGTTGAATTCTGCTTGCCTCTTCCTAAATAGAGTAGACATATAGTTACTCTATATCTGCAGGAGAAAAAAAAAAGGCCAAGATGAATATTCTTTCTCACTTTGACATAGAAATAAAATAATCTATTTGATTATCCTATTTCTGACCCTTAAGTTGAAGAACCACTCATTATTTTATTATTTCATTTATCAAAATGTAACATATATTTTACCAAAATTTATTAAAACAAATTTCAGTGTTATCATTGACCTGCTCTAATGCTCTTTAACGATTAGTTAAGTCTTTAAGTAAGTAGTTACCCATCCAAAAGCAAAGACTTTTATTTCTTGCATCTGTTTTTCTATTGCTTTAACAACTGTTTTTTTTTTTTTTTAGGCAAACACCTAATGTTTTGTTTTAGTCTTTTAAAAAATGGTAATAGTATTATTAAAGATTACCCAGTATTTATTCCCACTAATAATTTTTATTATATTGCACTGAGATGAATTTCTATGTAAATAATTGAACTAATAAAAAATTTCCTTTCTGTTTGAAAACAGAATAACATTGAAGAACTTGATGATATTCTCACATCCATATTCAAACAAGAGATACCATATTATGAGTTCCGATCTCTCCAAACTGAAATCCACCCTCAAAAAGAATGTGAGTATTTTCCAACTGCATCAGTTATTCTTTATGTCATATTTCGCTGTATGTAAACCTTTAATAAATATTATAGCCAGGAATATAGTTGAATTGCAGATTAAATACTTTAGATAATTCTCATCCCTTTGCGAGAGAGCACACTAGTACAAACTTCTGAAGTTCAATCTGGTAATTTTTTTTTAATCACAGGCCCTAAAAATGTGCATAAATTTTTAAATCAGCAAATCTACTTCCTGATTTGGATTTTGCTAGATGACAGATGCTATTAAATCTATAACAGAAGCAAACAACCCTCATAACATTAGGCTCTAATTTCTAGTTGAAGTACAAAATAACATAACACAAATTACATAATTAAAATATACAAGATAGACACGAATATGACTGAACTCATGTTTTGCTTGCCATCTTGACTCTATAATCTTGGAGCTGGCCCTATAAAGTCAGCTTCAGAATATCTGGCCTTTAAGATTTTACACCTACATTTTCATAATTATCGAGTTGAATCAGTGATAAAGTTTGAGATGTCTTTATACATAAAGTGAAATTAAATGAGAGAATTCAGGAAATAAATGGTAAATTGTTGATGAATTTCTATAGAAACATCACTAGAGGTAGTCTGAGAGGTAAACTCAGCAATGATCAGGTGTAATTTCAGATGTCCATCCCTGGAGACAGTTATGCAGTTATTTGGTGAAATGCTTTATTTATTAATTGTTTATTATTTATTATGCCATATTTTAGCTGAAATAAATTGAAGTTTAGGAGATTATGAGGGGAAGGTAATTATAAGGAACTGACAGAGTATACCTTGAGTATTGACCTACCCTAAGGAATAGCCATAGAATTATTCACAGGTACCAACAGTTCTTTGAAAGTTTGATGCTAAATGTTATATCATTCAAAACTCTTTATCTTATTATTGTACCATCCTCTTTTCCAAGTTGTTTTTGGTAAATCCTGAGTTTACTTCCTTGCTATTTCATTTATAATAAGTGAAATGCTACTCCATACCATTATGTCTTGGTCATTTTCACTTCTATCTAGCCAGCAAATCTCATTTTACTTTTTCCCCTACCAGGCAGACAAATTTGGGGGAAGGGGAGTTGCAGAGATAAGACAAAAAGCGTACAAAAAATCAAATCTGTTTTCATGTTCTCTTCCCTTGTAAAGTTTCATTATTGATTTTAAAATAACATCTTCCATTGATAAGAATTTTCTGTAGAAAAATGTTCTCCCTGGGAGTAGAATAATAAAAGGTTTTCAAATAAACTTGATATATTAATGTAATGTAGGACTTTTGAATACGATAGTCGTAGAAATAATTCACGAACAACTTTCCTAGTGAGTGAATCATCAGGGACTGTGAAATCAATATAAGGGATTGTAACAGGCAATTCTTTTTTTTTTTTTTTTTACTGATACTGATATTTGGATACTAGAATACAAAATATCTGAATATATTCTTTAAAGTAAAAGTAAGCATTATTTTGAGTAACTCCCATTTTGATTGTGGATTTATATATAAACGCACATGGTATGGGCCACCATGAAATCAGTTTGAATGTCCCTGACTTGGTATGGTGGTGAGGGAGAACTGTACACTTGGCCAAACACAATTGCTTTAGTCACTACATAACTCTTTATTATTCTGAGTTTCAAGCCAGCTTCTGGAGAGTGTTGTTAAGTCTTACTGCAGCAGGTACACGAATCTCCCCAATTTCTCTTTGGAACCCTTTCAAAGGCTGGGTAATACAGAGAATCTCCTGTCATGGAGAGGGAAAATAAATAGTTCAGCCTTTTTTAAAAAGAGGCTACAGTTTCTGGTTTAATAACCCTAAGTGGCAGTTAGTTTAGAAAAAAAGGAAACTAGGTTACTTTGAAGCAGATTATTTACCTTTGTTCAGAAAGAAGAAATGGGCATGTAAAGCCCATGCTAATATCTAGAAAGCATATAAAAGCATATATGCATTAAGTAGCAGTATCTTAATCTGAAGAAGGATAGCATGCAATCACCAGTGACATGTACGAGTCTTAACTCAGGATATTATCTCCTAATATATCTATGAAATGTGAAGCATGTAACTGGATACTCAATACATAAATACTGTAGCCCTAAGATTTATCTTGAATTTGTAGTTATCTTTAGGTTCACAGAAAATAGCTTATTTGCTATCTGAGCAGAAGAAAAATAAATGTCATTGGGTTCTCTTTTAATACTATCTAATAATTCAACTATGCAAAAAAAATATAGAGAACAATATGAAAAACACCCTTTTACCCATAACTTACTTTTGCCAAATCTTAACATTTTGTCATGATTTATTTCAGCTCTTTAAAGAGAAAAAGTTACGGATCTAGTCGAATTTTTCTATGTTTTTTTCTGTGATTTCACACACTTGAAAAGTTACTATTACTTTAATTAAATTTCTTAATAATCATTAATCTTTTTACTATGTATTTGTTTCGATAATTCATATATGCTGTTGTGCAATTTTGTAAATTTTATGTAAATGGTATCACATGCAGTTTCCCCTCCATTATAGTTGTTCCCATTGACTAGACATGAGAAGATATGTTTAAATATGTAAGCCATAACAGAAGAGGGAAACGCCTAGAGAAACTGAATAGAATGAAGAGAAAGTCTACAGAGACATACCCTGAATACTTTGCAGTTTGATTTAGCTCTCTGTGTTTAACCTCAATTTTCTTGGCTATCCACTCTTACTTGATTATTCGAACCAAACTCTATTTGTTCTTCTTTTTACTACTTTTGCTCTCAAACTTTAGTGGGCATCAGAATCACTTAGATGATTTGTAAAATTCAGATTGCTGGCCCCCACTCAGAATTTCTGATACAGTAGGTCTGGAATGGACCCAAGAATTTTACATTTCTGACAAATTCATCAGTGATGCAGATGCTACTGGTCTGTGAATCATCACTTCACAGAAAGCCACTGAGTGAACATAGCAGTAATGGGCAGTACCATTGATATGTTACATACATAAAATTGATGTGAATGAAATTAAACTTAAGATAGTAGATTTTTTTCATCGCTCCATATCCCAGGATTAAAATCATGGATGCAGAATGAAGTAGTCTTACAGTGATCATTTATCTCAAAAGTATTTTTTATATACCATTATTTAAAAAAATGAAACCCTCATGAATTCTTACAAAAAATTTAACACACTGTACTTTGTACTAGGTACTTTTCTAGATGCTGAGGGAAGGTAGAGGAATGTAAGATCAATAAAACACAACCTATACACTCAGAGAGAAGTGATAACAAAATTATAAAATAAGTGCCTCTAATACAATATATGCTCTACTCATAAGAGCTAACACTTGTATTTTGTATACTCTTAAAAAAAATTAAGCACTTTTAGAACTTTAACTCATTTAATTCCTTGGAACAATCCTGAGGTAGGTACAACTTTAATCTCTATTTTACAGATGAGGCACTGAGAGTTAACATCACTTGCCCAAATAGTGGCAGAGCTAGGACTTGGATACAGGCAGCTCAGCTAAAGTGGCCACATTACTAGCCGCTTGACAACTGTGGCCCCATACACAGCACTGAGCGGGAGCTCCAGGGTGTCGGGAGACAGTCAGAGAAAGACAGACAGTCAAGGGACACTTCCCGGGAGATCTTAATTTAAAGGAAAGGTTATAAATAATTTCTTCTAAATTATTTAAAATTACTACTTTAATGAATATATAGAGGCAAGCTTAAAATTGTCTCAGATGTTCTTTATGTTTGTTTCTTTTTTTTTTTTTTTAATCCTAGAAACGTAGTGATTTTTGTTTCATAGTGCACGATTTTCTTTAAATCATCCTTTGCCTTTATGGGCAAATATTGTCCTATATGAAGGAGCCCTGTTTTGTTCATGCATTTATTCCCAGTGCCTAGAAGAGTTTCTAGCACTCGATAAATATTTATTACACTAATTAACTAGTAAATGGCAATAAAGTTAACCATACACTAAAACCAATAAGACCCTGGACAGTAATAGGTTAGACTAATAATATTTGAGCTCCAAAAACAAGAGTGCTTATTTGTAAGAACATAAGGTAACTATTTATAATGCCATTGTTTTTTTTCTTTTCTACCTCTTATCCATGACATCTGCCATTAGGAGAATGAAAAATTGGCATATGTGCCTTCTGAATGTGCTGCACTGAACTGTCTGTGCTCAAATAACCAAGACACATATGTTCATCTTCTCTGAGTTGACACAAAAAACAGGCTTTTTAGGGTCAACAGTAATAAATTTCTATAAGTTTATCATAAAGTTACAATAAACAAATAAATACTGTCCATTAGTAACTAATGACAGGAAAATGGCTCTCTAATATTCATTAAGGAAAATACATGCATAGGGTTACCTCAATTATATACACATGCATGCATGCACATATCCCACCCCCCATACACACACATACACATACAAAGGAAATGGACTCTTCTATTAACAAATTAAATAAGTTACTACTTAAGGAACTCCTCCTTACTTTTGCCATTGTTGTGAAGTAATGATAATTAAACCTAGAATTTATATCTTCTAAAATTCTTGACAGGTTCAGAACCTCCCCTACATACCATATTACTAACCCACTCCAAACACACCTCCTTCCACATCCTAAAGGGACTCATTTGCTCTCTGAATGCTGGCATTAACAAATAGTCATAGAAAATCTTTGTAGTGACACTGCAGGTTTAAAGACTCATTGCATTACTCTGTGAAGGATAGAAACTCAAAGATATGGTTTTAGAAAAACATAACCTAGAGGTACAAGATTGTTTTAATATCTTGTACCTCTAGGTTATGGTTTTCTAAAACCACCACAGTCATTTTCTTCCCTGAATTAGCTAAGGTTCTCTGGAGAAACAGAACCAATAGGAGAGAGAGAGATTGAGAGAGAGAGAGAGAGAGTTTACTTTAAGGAATTGGCTCACATGGTTGTGGGGCTGACAGTTCTGAAATCTCCAGGG